CTTCCTCACCCTCCTTGTATGGTGGTGGAGTGAACCAAGGAAGCTTTCCTCTTATCCAGTCGTTCAAGACCATCTTCGCAGCGCCGTCAATGTCAGCTTCACCACCCTTGAGGAGACGACCACTCTTCCGGCACAAGTTTTCCAGAAAAGCGACAGCATCGCCTTTGTAGTCTGAGTCCTTGATATCGTACGTTCGCTGGAGATGTCGCGGTTGTACACGCTTCAGAACCTCTTCGATGTATTGTGCTGGGTACTCGACGTTCTCGACACGTACACTGCCGCGAAGCAGCAGATCCGTATCGGTGTCGTTTTGGTTTGGTGGTACAATACCAGGACAGTCGATCATGTAGATGCGCTTCATCAGAGTAATGTATTGCCAGACCTTGGTTTCGCCAGCGATGGGCGCGACGACGCACACCTTCTTCTTTCGCAGAGTGTTGATGATGGACGATTTACCGGTGTTTGGGTAGCCAACCATACCCACAGAGACCTGTTTACGGTCGCTGTGGAGAGAGCTGAACTGGCGGAGAAGGGCGATCAAAGAACCCTTACCGAAGCTGTTGTTGATGGAGGCGTGGAAAGCAAGTGTGGGGAATTCCTTGCTAAGATGACGAACCCATGCAGCCTGTCAAGTGTCAGTGCGTGGTCATCAACTTGACATGAGAATGTGCGTCGACGACGGAATGTGCGAAATATTACTAAGAGTACCGCCATGAAGCTGCGAGTGCAGAGACGGTCCTCAACTCAAACAAATCACGCGTGACTCTATTGATCGGCAACCAAGACGGTTACCAATCGACCCGCGATCAAGACGATCTTAGGCCAGCGAGCCACTTTTGCTCTTCCCAACTTGTAACAGAACCGTATTCATGGAATAGGAAAAGGTCCTTGACTTAAGGAGGGTGTGGATGGTGTAGGGGGTGGAGAGGGGGCGTGAACTTACAGCAACCTTGGAGGGAACAAGATCGACCTTGTTGAGGACGAAGACCAGATGCTTGTGGGGTGCCTCGGTGCGGATGTATTTTTCGACGGAGCGGCAACGAGTGCCATCAGGGTCGCGGGCGTCTAGAACATGGAGAATGACATCGGAGGAATCAATGACCTGGGGTATGTCAGACATGGATTGTGAGAGGTGATGGTTGTAAGCTTACCTTGTACAGCTCGTTCCAGATACGCTTCGACGTGCCCTTCATGAAAATGAACTCGCGCGCAGATGTAAGCTCGCCGTTGGGGTTGTCGGCGAAGGACTCGTTCTGCTCTGCCTCGCCAGACGTGCCCGACAGCAGCTTGGCGTTCTCGAGGCGCTCCACGTAGGTCTCGTGCATGCTTCCAGTGCGGCCAGCAAGATCCTCTATGGAGCTGAAGTCGAGCTTCGGGCGCTTCCGTTGGGCCTTAGGGCCGAATGTCTCTGAGAAAGGCTGGCTGCCGACGGCGATCTTGGCCGCGTGCTGCTTGAGGCCTGGGATCTGTCCTGGTGTCTCGATCAAGCTCATGGGGAGCTTGTTGCGCTTCATCAGGAACGTGGTCGGGTCCGAAGACTGCGCCTCCACGGCCGAGCGGAAGCTGTCGAGGGCATCTTGCGATATCACTCGCGTGTTGTTAAACCACTTCCTGTTGGGCTCGACACGGGCGACAGGCGCCGCGCGGTTCTGGTAGACGGCGGCCTTGGTAATGTCTCCCTTGGCATTGCGCTCGGCTGTGCCACCTGTGAGGCGCTTGAGGAGCTTGACCTTCTTCGCATCACTGCAAAACTATCAGTATACCCGTGCAGAAAGACCCTTGCGCAAAGAGACTGCGCGACATACCGGTAGAAGTTGGCGCCCTTGGTCTTGACATTTCCCATGCCATCGCCCGTCTTGCCCTCGCGCTCCTTGCGGTTGTACTCTTTCTTCTGGACACCCATGGCGACTGCTTCCTGTGGTGTTTGGCGGGTTGGGAAGAGTGAAGAGTAGATTTCGCGAGACATGGGCAACTTTTTTTGAGAGGCGGGAGCTAGCCAGAGTGGGGCCAAGGGGCTTGGCGCCGACAATTTCGAAGCAGGCGCGACGACACCGCAGCAGCACCTCCGCATCGCCGCATTCCAGTGCACGAGGCAGCAACACCGCAATGCCGCCCAGGATACCCGTCCGACCCTCTGCAGCCGCCAATGGCTGGAGTAGCAGCCTGTGTGTGCGTGCCTTCTCCTCCACACCTTCCACTCTCGCCCTCGGTCCGCAGTCGCCAAACTACATCGACGTGCCGAAGCCGCTGCAGCCCACCTACCCAGCCAAGCCTGCAGTAAAGGGCCACCTCCCCATCCCAAGAGACGTCTTCAAGACAAGGAATAAGCATCCGAAGGAGTCGGACATCTTCCTCGAACGGAGTACTAAGGAGCCCAAAGAAGTCAAGGCCCCCGGACCATACAGCCGGGATGTCGACTACCGGTTATACAAGCAGAGGCTGGCGGAGAAGCGGAGAGAGAACTTAAAGGAGGGTGTCAAGGCGCTGCACGAGCGAAAGGTTACATCAGAGGCCGAGTACATGGCCAAGATCCAGGCCATTGGTGCGAAGAGGCGGGAATTGGCTACGGCACCACGGCGCGAAGTCGACATCTTAACTGAGACATCTGTCGCCAAGGGCATTCGCGACTTCCTCACCGACAGCCTGCCCCCGCGGCCCGACATCACAAAGGCCCGGAGCCGAGCATACCAGCGCCGAGTAGCCCGGATACAGGAAATCCGCGCTTCCCGCCTACACGATCTATACACCAACGCGCGCAAGTTCATCGTGGACGAACAACAATTAGACGAGGCGATAGAAAAGGTCTTCGGGTCTGACGAGCAGCCTGTTGCTTGGGACGCCAGGGGTGTCATGGGCCCAAGAGAAGACGGCAGGAACGGTCTCAGCCCATGGGACGGACCTCTGCCCGAAGGTGTCGGTGACATGCTCAATAAGCTCAAGGGTGGCGAGGGTGTTGGTCTTGCCAAAGAGCGCGTCAAGAAGGTGGCCGAGGAGCTTACTGGTGGTAAGATGTAGGCTCAGTACAGAGCTATGTATCATGTACTTCATGTGTATACCAATATTTGGACGTCTCGATGACCCTTGGCACGCCTCCTCACCTTGATCAATCACCGTGGTTCACCTTTCACTCCGGACCTGGGCATGCGCCGCCAATAGCGGACAGCGAGCTAGACTGCTCAAGCGCTAGTCAGGTGAAGGAGACATAGCGGTCCGTCATCTTCCACTCAACATTGTCATTTCGCGACTTCTAACAAACGAACGAAATGCAATCTGACCCACACATCTTGGCCTCATCACCGCGAACGATCGCATTGGTAGTCTTCTGATTGCATCCACCGCCTTCGCACCGCCCGCCAGTGAAGCCTGACTTCTTTAGGTCAATCATTTCGAGTACTCACCCGGGTCGTGACCGAAGCCCTACTTCAAGCGTTTGTCAATTCTCCCGACTTTACCTCTGCGAAAGCGTTATCAGCGCTAGGCCAGCGAGCGTGATCCACGGACCTATAACCTGCTCATATACTCATATATCTACCTCTCCACATTCTCTCACAGAACCCCTTCACAAGCTCCACTCACGCACTACCTAGGCGTCAATTCCGCACGATCATTCAAGACCATCGATTGCCCCAAGCTCACCACTCCCTCTCTCCACCCAGTCTCTACCTCTATCTCCTCGCCCATCATGAAACTCCTCGCCCTTACCCTAGTCTTCCTACTCTCCATCCTCACCACCGCGACCCCCCTCGCCCTCCCCTCCGACCCCCCCGCCTCCACCCAAGGCAGCAAGCCCAAACACGACCCCCTCACCCAAACCCCCGCCCACGAACGCCGCGGCGTAGCCTACAACGACGTCGCCTACAACAAGCTCTTCCAGGGTGATGGAACCCACGTTACCTGGCGCTTCAACTGGGATTCTTCGTCTGCCCTCTCACCTGCCTGGTTCCGCTTCATCCCCATGCTGCATTCACTGCGCGACGATCATACGGGAAGGTGGAAAGACAATGCCGAGGCGATGGCGAGGAAGAATTTCGAGGATCATGGGTTCGCGACGTGGTTGATGGGGTTTAATGAGCCGGATAACTGCATGTAAGTACTGTCTTTGCTTTCGGTGAGGATAAGTGTAGTTGTTCGAGGTCGTGCTGATTATAGTGAAAGTCCTGACGCAGGCGGGTCTTGCATCGACGTCCCCACCGCCGTTGATGGTTGGAAGAAACACATGGAACCGCTGTCCAACTTCAACAGCGCGATGTATCTAGGTTCTCCCGCTGTTACTAATGCCGCAGCCTCCGACACCACGGGTCTGGGTTGGCTGGCCAAGTTCATGGAAGCCTGCGACGGATGTACCATTGACTTTATCAACATCCACTGGTACGTCGCTTATCTCCTTCCCTTCACCCTCCCCTTTGCATTACCCCCACGCACACCCACTCACAAACACCTACTCACAAACCCCCCACAGGTACAACTCCATCCCCAACTCCGCGCAAAACTTCAAAGACCACATCGCCAACGCGCGCAAAGTCGCGCGCGGCCTCCCCATCTGGGTCACCGAGTTCCGCGCCGAGGGTACCGACGACGAGATCAGGGCCTTCCTCGACGACGTCATGCCGTGGATGGATAACTCGCAGGATATCCATCGTTATGCGTATTTCATGGCGAGACCGGGTAAGGGCATGCTGGTCAACGATGCGGGTGATGGGTTGAGTGATATCGGGAAGGAGTTTGCTTTCTTTCACAAGCATGAGAGTGAGAAGGATGGGAAGGGGAAGAGTTATGGGAAGGGCTGGGATGGGAGCAGGTGGTGGGAGGAGGAGGAGGGTAAGTGAGGAGGATAAGCGAGGTTGATCTGGGAAGGGGGTCTTTTGGGGACCTTGGGAGGGAGGTAGAGTTGTGCATCTAGACCAAGGATCTGGAAGGCCTGGAACGGAGGATCAGATCTCATTCACCATTTCTCTTACCATCTCAATCATCTTATATATCTTCCCACATATCCCATTACATCAACCCCCCGGACTCCAACTCTGTCCAATCGCCCTCCTAAACCCCCCCTCAAACACCCCAATCGTCTGATTCATATCCATCCCACTCGCAATCGCCAGCTGCAGCATAATCCTCGCTTGAATCGGATGCACAAACCCCGCCTTCGCAAAGCTCGGTGTCCTTGCCGGACTCGACGGTCCATGCGGACTTCTTGTCCCAACAACAACTTGAAGCCCTTTCTCCATCGCTTCGGCAATCTCGTCTCCGCCATTCGGTACGCCGCCGTTGCCGGTGCCGGCTATGACGACGCCGTCCGCGCCGTTGGCGTGCGCATCGAGTACGAGCTTGCCGTCGAACTCGCGGGCGGCGTAGAGGATGTCGACTTTAGGTAGGGTTGGGTATGTGGGGTAGGCTGATACAGTGCCGATGTCGAAGTAGTACTTATACAACGGCTGACTCGGCGTGTTGAAAAAGACCGGCAAACTGTTAATAAATATGCCCAGATCACCCCCGGACGTAGGCCCAAAAGCATCCGGGTTCGTGCTATGCAACTTCGTGACCCAATACCCCGGTATAATCCTTGCATTAAACGCAACCATCAGCCCTCTATCCCTCGACTCGGGACTCGCAGCCAACATAACCGCATCAAAAAAATTCGCCTCCCCATCCCACGACAAATGCGTAAAAGGCCGCATACTCCCCGTCCCGACAACCGGTTTCCCGCAGTTCACAAGCGAGTCCATCAGGAACGCTGTTTCCTCGAGCGAATTCGTGCCGTGCGTGTATACCGCGCCGACGATGTCGCTGTCTTCTGAACAGAGAGCGTCGTGGGCGAAGCGCGTCATGTTCATGACTAAGGCGTCGTTTGTCCCGGTTGAGCCATCGTCTTCGGTGGTCCAGTTGGACACGGCGAGTTGCGTGTTGTTGAGAAGGTAGGGGTTGCGGGCGATTATGTCTTCGCCGGTTTGGCTGAGTTGGCCGTATTGTGTGTCGTCGAGGGCGCCGTAGATGGAGCCGCCGGCTATGGTGCCGCCGGTGAAGAGGACGCTGGGGGTGTGTTAGGGGGGATGGGGATGGAGATGTGGTGGGTTTGGGTGATGCGTACAGGACTTTAGGGAGACTGCTGTTACCACCTAGCCATGTTAGACCGAGTCGCTCGCTCGCGGTGGTTGCTTGACGCGGTTGGGATTGGGAAGCTGTTGGTGCGGTATGCCCGACCAGGCTCAAAGAAGCAGCGAGTGCAAAGTTAGAAAGCCGCATGATGCTTGACGATAAGAACCAACAATCAAAAGACCCAAAGTTCCACATCTTGTACGACCTGAACCTTTATACTCCAGCCCATCCCACTCTTGCCGTCGCCCAACACCTCCGCTTACATCCGCGGGCATTTTGATCTGACATATCGCCGGTTACGAGCCGTGTTTTGAGATGCAGCATTACGACATCGTGCATGCTACATACTTGGCGATGCTTCTATGAGGAAGGTGTGAAGTCTACATTGTGAGGGGTGATGGAGTTGTTATCGTGCCTGCGTTATCGACATGAGATGGGCGAAGCTAAGCTGCAAAGCCCCACATTTGCCAAGAGCGGACTGGTGACTTCGACTGGATCGCGTTTAGCGGCGTGATCGCGTCGTGACGTGCTGATAATGGGTTGCGGTGTTACTGCAAACTCGCAACGAGATATAAATTACGGAAGTGGATCGGATTGAGTTCGATTGAGAGACCGAACGGTGTCTAAGCCTGCCCACGTACTGTGTTGTGATACTCAGGTAATCATAAGTGTACTAAGGGAGGCTAGTCGTGACGGGTTGCAATATTCAACCCATTTAGGGGCTGCATTGGCACTGTTTGCCGAATCCCGGTGCAAGTAAGAAATTCCCTCACACACAAACTTAATTGCACATCTTTCACCGCTCGCACTTGCCAACTGCAGTGCAAGATCGTTTGAGAGTCCGATGAGTCTGCGTTCCAGATAATGTTCCTGGTCGCCCCAAGCTCCTCGCTCTTTGTACAACGGTTCGAGCATATTGCCGAGTGGCCTCCATTTCCACGGAAATCCAAGGAGCACTGCTGCGCAGGCTTTCAATGAAGGACCTTGAGGATCAACCATGTGTAACCCGGGTCCGCATTCTGTAGTTGCTGTTTCAGCTTTGGCAAAAGCTTTAGCCGCTTCAGGAAAAGCCAATCGCGGAGCTTCCCACATCTTGACGCGTAGTCTGACTCTCATCATGTGGTCACAGTCCAAGGCGTAGTAATGCAGACCTTGCCATGCAACGAGGACTTCATCGAACAGGTTTTCCCATGCCGCGTCATAAGTAAGAGCATCAATGACGGACAACGCGCAATGGACCGGCAGACGCTTCGTGAAATAACGCGCGAGGTAAAAATGGTAGGAGTCCGATAAGTCTGGGAAGTTGCGTAGTTTAACGACGCGACAATAGAGTTTCAAAATGTGCCGATGACAGTCTTGTTTCGAGAACAGAAGTCGGAGTTTTGCTTCAGGACTCTTGTCGCCATATTTCATCCGGCGAATGAAGTCTCTCGCAGAGTCGTGGGCAAATCTTACTACGCCGTCGTGGCCGTAGGTAAGGAAGTCTGCGCCCAACCTGCGTACCCACTCCTCGGACCCCCTTTCAGCGAATGAGTTTTCGTCACCGCTGAATAACCGCAGTAGATATGCGAGGTGTGCGATAGTCAATCTTCTCATCCAGGAAATCATGATTTGAAAGAGGTGCCGCCTGGTTTCCCGGAAATCTTCATATTCGTTCTGCTCCCAAAGGCGTTGGTATGCCTCACGGAGGCCTGTGGCTTGATCTTCGTTATTGGAATGTTTCAGTTCGCCCAACAATCTTCTTGCGCGGGCTGACGTATATACATTCTTTGTTGGATCTCCGGCAGGTAGCAGAATTTGGAGCCATATCTTGACCCACACAAACCTATGCAGGTAAGAATAAGTTATAAAGACTTGAAACACATACTCACATTCCTTTTGCATGTTTCACGAGAAGTTCCCTCATCTCATCGCGGAGTGCTCTCTGGTCTTCTTCGACTGTAATCTGATCAGCCCTCATGGTAAACCGCGGTAGTGTTGTAGCAAGTGTACGTACAGAATATCGACTTAGATTCGGCACTAAGCCTAAGCCCTGCACAATCGATTTCCCTGTCGACAAATATCTTCATATCATGTTCAGTATCTCGTGGCTCCACTGAATACTTCACTAGAGCTGGTGAGGCGAAATAGATGCCCACTTTGACAACTTGGCGAGATGAGAAGACAAAGAAAACGTTGGGATGATCTTGTGCGATAGTTTCCATGATTTCAAGGAAATTCGCCCATTCTTCTGGTTCGGTGAAAGCATCCAAAGCGTCCACAAGAATTACAATCTTTGCCGATTCTCCGCAGTCATCGATGACTTTGTCGAGGAGGTCCTGCCACACTTCAATGGACAGTTTCACTTCAGGTCCCGTAGTCGAGTTCTTGTAGAATTCGTAGGCCAATGGAGCTATGGAGCGGTCTAATTTCCAAGAAAGCTTCCATATGAGCGATCGTACGACCGTTTCAGTATCAGGTCTCTGGGTGCCTCCGGTAGGGCAGAAGTAATGGATGACACGTATAGGCTCTTCCAGTACTTGCATACTCTCAAGTGCTTTCAGACTTAGGAATATCCGATGCCTACGTGAATGTCAGCAAGTCGACTTTTGCGCGTCGAAGCAACGTACAGGATAGTGCTTTTCCCCATGCCAAAAAAGCCACTGATCCAGAGTACACGTGCCGGATGAGATTCTCCAGGCTGTGCATCATCTGAAAATTGATGACTAAAAGCTTCAAACCAGGTCTGGTATTCCAGCGTGTGAAGAAACCATTGCGCATAATTCTTGGACCGACCGCCCGAGGTTATGTCCTTTTCGATCTTACTCAGCGCATCTTCAGGGTCGTCATTCTTCTTGATCCACATGAGTGCAGCGGCGACTTCCTTGTTGGTAGCGGCTCTCTCACTGATGCGTTTTCTCATCCTAGTCAGTGTCTCGGCCAAAGTCTTCAGATCTTTCATCTGTTTTTCCCACACTTCGGGATCATTCTTTACCAGTGCAACGGCTACATGGTAAGCGTAAGTAAAGGAACGCCTGTCATACGTATTCTTGTGATGGTAGCTTACCTTTTGCCTTGAATTGGCCCGCTCTCGATGCGACTGACAAATTGTCAAGCGCGAAGTGAATTCTGTACATGAGCTGTAACGCCATAATGTAGATATCAGGGAGCTGAATCTTCAGCTTCTCTTCCTCATGCTCCTTTGAAGATGTTGTTTCGAAAGACATCCAGTCGTTGATAGTGTTGGCAGCTTCTATATATGCGTCCCGCGCTTTGGATACGTACTCCGCATTTGGGCCATTGATCGAGAGCTGATGAAATTAGCTAAACACATCCTAGTAGGCAAAGACTATGTACCTCAGCAATAGCGAAGACCGCCGCACAGCCAATGGGCGCGATCTTGTACGGATCTAGAGTTGCGATTGGCATAACAACGGACCGGACACTAGCCACGCTAGGTAACCATCGTCTAGCTCGACGTACGATTTCATCAGACCTGGGATCTTGCTGCAGATGTTCGGGCAGTGTCCACTCAATTTCACCGCTGTGAGTTGTTATGAATCTTTTCATTTTGTCGTTCAGAAACTCGAATTTCGTCTTATCGTTCTCCTTGAACGTATCCAGGGCTTCGTCCCACTTCTGGACTTTCCTTCTTGCAGGCGTCCTTCCGAGGTGGACTTCAGGTTCAGACGTCGTTGACGCAATCCGACTAAGGTCCTGTGTATGCTGTGTCTCGACAGGACTAGCGGTTCGCTGTATGTGAGTTCGAGTGACCTCACTAACCGGCGCGGACGACGACGTTCCTGGCGCGTGACTAATCGCAGTATGATCAACCTCGCCTGATGTAGGCGGATATGTAAGACGAGAAGGATCTCTGGGACTGTCGTTGCCGTGCGCATGGCTGGGAGAATCATTTGGGACACCGTGAGGGGTAGCAGACACCGTAGGAGGAACTACCGACGCGTCGGTAGCCGTCGAGAGTAACGTCGACGCATTCGCTGGAATCGGGGTAGCCCGCGGTTGACTAGGGCGCGCAGCGAGAGGAGTGTTAGTAGCCGTTTCGGAGCGTACATGACCTTTGCGACGCAGGAAAGGCTTAATGACCGCCCGCTTACACCTTTTCCAAGTCCCAGGTGTGGCAGGAGGATCGGCCATACTCAGAGAGTGCTTCGTGTCCGGGCGAGCTTGCTCAGAAACAAAAGATGATGGACTATTGAAGACGCGCGAAGTACGAGGAAGGCGCATAAAAACAATGAGGGGTCAGGACGCAAGGCAATCACCAAGCCTGCATGACAGCCAATACCTCAGCCTTGCCGCGCCACAAAGCCTTCGATGTCATGTCTGGCGTGCTGCGCACCGGTGAGCGATTCTGGAAGTGTGTGTAGCGTGCCGTGTTTGCCTGGGATACCATTTGCAGTAGTTGGAAGCGAATGAGCATGTATTAGAGTATGGCTGGGCTGAAGGCCCCGGGGAGAAGGGCAAATACGACGGAGGCGTACCGCAACACGAGGAAGGCTGAACGCGAACGATGACGTCATACCACTCATGCCGGCAGCGGGTGTAGCAATATCTTGTGCTTACTTTGCACAAACATTTCACCGTAAGAAGTATACATTGTGTTAGGAAGTATCTACCTAGGTACCTTTGAAGCTCTAGCAACATGTATGCAGTAACATGCAACACAGAATTTCAGAAGAGATTCACGTAGATGTAGTTGCAGACTAAGCTGCGACAACGCAGAGCAAGACAAGCTACTTATGTCTCTTGCAATACATTACTACTGCATCTACAGAGGTACTCCTTATCAAATAAGATTACAAACCTTAGACTCTTGCAGACTACGAAGGTTCTAGAAGACTCCAATGTTGTTAGCCCAAACGCAATATCTCCACCTCACTCCTTCACAACTACTATTCCTAGTCGTCGTGTCAAACTCGTAGTCGGCTTATCACTACATGCGCCATCATACCAATACTTGAAAACATTTGTCTACTTCCACCCCTCACACTACCAAGTACAAAACATCCGTCGCAGCCATCAACGTCAACAACTCAAATAGGCACCGCGCGCGCCACATGCCATCGCATCACCAAAACCAACAACACCATCCCTCAAAGCAGGTCTCCGAAGCCAACCTCTCGCTCCTAGGGAACAATGAGGTACTGGAAGGGCTTCCATCATATCCCTCAATACCTCAACGTCACTGTACGCTTCGACAAGCTCCTCGTTGTGCCTACCGCGGGCACGGATAGGAAGAACAAGTCAAGGGCCATTGCGATACGCAAGGGCAATGGCTACGATGCAACCATCATGCTCCTCAATGAGGACATGGTATGTGTGTGATTGAGAGTGAAGACGATGAGTTTGATCCCTCCGCCTCAGGGTCAGAGTAAGACTGCGACGGAGTTGAGGAGATGAAACGTTAGCTATACTAGATAACCTGCTGGGAGAAAAACGGTGCTCAGCTCTGTACATCAAACTTTTAACGAGTCTATATTTTGTTGTGGCTGCGATGTAACTATATCCTCTTTCTACGCACTCTACGGGTCTAGCACTTGAACACCGCCGGTCCAGGGCTCGTATACGTCTTACTCCCCGTGTAAAGATTGTAAAGAATGCCCGCATCATTCTGCTTATACGCGCCGGGGAAAGAAACCGTCGCCGGCGTCTTACTCGCCTCACCCCCCGTAACATTAATCTGCGCACACTCCATATAAAACTGCGCACCCATACTGCTACTCGCGCTATGCAGCGCAATCAGCTCTCCCCTCAACAAATACTGTCCGGGAGCAATACACTTTGGAATCGTAATCGTCTGAACACCTTTGTTGGCGATAAGACGATCGACACCCCATTTCGAGCCGTCGAAAGCGTCTTCAGCGATCTTGAACCAGCCGCCGCCGACGCCGGAGTCGGTTTTGGCGTCGCTGACTTTCTTCATGTAGGCCATTACAGGGCCTTTGTGGGAAGAGTCGATTACGTCCGAGGGGCCTGAGGTGAGGGTGTGGCGCCAGGTTAGGGTGGCGGTGGAGCCGGCTTGGAGGGTTATGACGGTGGAGGTTTTGGCGGTGGGGTTGGGGCCGCCGTTGCAGACTATGTCGTTTGTGGAGACGTCGTTGATGGGCTGGAGGGAAGTTAGTTGGGGAGGGGATGGGTTTGGGGGTATGGAGAGCGTACGCCGTCGTATGAGGGGACGCGGACACCATCTCCTACTGCGCCGCCATTGACGCTGACGAAGATTGTATGGGCGGATGCTGAGCTGGCTGCAGCAGCGAGGACAAGTGGGGCGGAGAGCTTCATTGTGATGGTTGTTGTTGATTCTGATGGAGGTGCTTGATGTGTCAATGTTGCCGTAGTCGGGGTACTTATAAACAATGTCTTCGCCCTGACGTTCAAGATCTGAACCCAGACCCAAGGTTTACATATATTGCATGCTTGGTGATATCACATACACATTCCCAGATGCGAACAAGCCTACCTCCTGCACCCCAGATGAGCGGAGCATTTCCTTCGCGTCCACCAACCGCATCGCGAGCCGCCGCGGCAAAGGCCTGAAACCGCAACGCTATACCAGCCAAAACCCGGATGAGAAAGGCCGTATCGCTGGAGTTGCCACGCGATTATATTAAGCAATGTAGAGCGTGTGTCGAATGTTCTTAGAAGTCCTAAGCGAGGTTGTCTTTAGCCAATGGCTTAGCCGTGTGTAGATTGAAGGCGCCAAGCCCCCCGGAGATAGAGTGCCGCCCCATATAAAGAGGCTTGCTTGTGACCTGGTTGACTTGTCGGCGCTAGTGGAAAAGTGCCGACCGGATCGTGATCGATGGTCGATTATCGGGAAGATGGACCGCCTAGGATGCGCTCAAGCAAGCGTGATGTCTTGAAGCTCAATGTCTTCCTTGGCCAACACTTCGCCCTTCATAATACCATGGACGTAAGCTTCACCAAGCAGCTCAAATTTCTCGGCAACTCCTTCGACTTGCTGCTTCCTGATCACAAAAGGTACACATGCCCTATCGAAGACAGCGAGCTCATCACCGACTTGCGCACCCCTCGGCACTAATGCAAAGTAGCCCTTCTCGGTTACAGCAAAGCGGCGCATCTTCAACGCGGCCCGGTACGCCGTTTGCAAGTCTTCCAGGGTCTTTGCCGGCTTCCTGGTCTTGAGACTGTCGAGATTGAAGTGACCCTTCTGCCGCCGCTGGCTCATAGTCTGACCAGGTAGGCATAGGGACTTGCCTGTCGTGGCATCTAGGATGAGCCCGAATACCTCGCTGTGGTCTGCATCTGGTGGCGCAACGCCAGAGCCATCGCGTCCCGCCAGTAGTGTGTGTAGAAAGGCGTCGTATGTTGAACTACCTTGTAAAAGGTATGTGTGTGTTCGACCAGCGCCCATGACAAGCTCGGCGTAAGATGCTAAATCACGATTGCCCCGTTGTGGATTGTCGATATCAAGAAAGGGATCCTCACTGACACTGCCTAGGATGGCAATGGTGTCGAATGCTTTACCGCTCAGTGTGATCTCTTGCTTATCTTCGCTCACGATAGCCTTGGGTGGCTGCGCGCCGGTGACGGGCCTACCACCCGCACAGTATACAGCCCAAGATCTTGTCGAATAGCCAAATACGTCCGTTACGCGTGGGGTGCTCCAGTCTGGGACCCAAGACGGCTGGAGCGGGTGTTCGTGATCGACACAGCTTAACAGTTCGTAAATGCGATCAGGTACTTCCGTCAGACAGGCCTCGTGATAGACCGCTCTCGCAGGAACATCGGGATTGTAGTCGGGTACGATATCGGCATCTGCTATACCCAGCACACCGTAAGTCTTGTCTTTGGGGTTTGTCGCCTGCGCATAACGTGTAGAAACCAGAATGGTTAGTAATGCTTCTTTCGTAACGATTGTCAGGCCATGTACGCGCTCTGCCTGAACAGAGTTCACCACATCAGCACCATGCGGCGGCAATGCTTTGACATCTGCTTTCGTTGTGTACTTCTCATCCAGCTCAGCGTTACCAGTCAGCCAGCTGAGCACATGCGTTTCTGCCAGATCATGACACCACGCAGCAAAGTCGTCCCAACACACCTCAACCTTGCCGCATTTGACAAACAGTTGTCTCGAAAGCACGGCTTCCTGGATGGTCCACAGTCTGCCGAACCAGGGGCGGCGCAGGACTTGACGAACAGCCCACCACGCTCGATCAAGGCTAGGTGGAAAATCCAGCCTCTCAAAATCCGCTGGCGTCACTTGCGCATCCGTCCCTTGTAACCGCACAAAAACAGTCTCCATCAAATCGAAAGCAAGTGCCGAGTCCTCTTCACCATCATCACCGAGCCATATGAGCGTGTTTGTAGCATGTGTGTAGACCAAGCCCATCAACGGGATCTGCTGCACCTTCTCCGCAATGTCGGGCTGATTGATGCATATTTGATCT